TAACGCCCCAAACAACAATATAAGTATGCGAGACGTGGTAGAGTAGGGCTCCGGAAATTTCGAACACCTGGTGTCCTTTAACGTACACTCTTGAAAAATGGAGTGACGTTCTCTTCAATAAGGGAGGAACGGCGATGTCCCCAATGTTCGTCTTTGAAAAGAGAAACGTTGCTCCCTTATCCACGGTGAAACGTGTTCCTCCCTATGAAAATCAACATGGCTGACCCCAGGTTAGAGAAGGGAGTAGCCTTAGCAAATGCATCGATTCTCGACTGATAAGGAGTACAGGGCACTGAAAGTTACAAACAATGGTCCCGCTGAGCTTGATGTCGAAAGAAATGATTATAAAACAAGCAGACGAACCTGTAGCGATAAAAACATAGCGAAAGAAAACGACGGAGCAAGTAGTCTTCGTTCGGCCAGTGAGGTGATGTTCATTCTGAAAGACACAGATACTGTAGAGTCCTCACCCGAAGAGTGCATGCTAGGCTTGCTGTATTTATTTGTTGCAGATTCACATAGCGTAGCGACGTTATCCATGTGTTTACGGGGCCACAGGTAACAAGATGTGCTTCCAAACCGTGGACTCGATCACAGCGAAACCATTCCGACTCAGTAGTGCAGCTTTAATAGATAGATGTTCAACGTTATATAAGTGCCTAGAGGTGTTAGAGCTTCATAGTCGTGAAGGATGGATGGATGGATGGATGGATGGATATGGCTGTGCGCTTTAGATCGGGTGGTGGCTAGCGCCACCAAGCCGTAATACCTAATAACCAAAAACTATATTTTTTCCTTAAAAAGTGAGTTTGAGGATTCGTACTTTGCAGTGAAGAGTTTAATTTTCACTCGTGCCTTGACTTTAGCCACCAATCAGATAACCTCCTTCTAGTTAAGTCTACCCGCTTAAAGTTTTTTTTGCCCTCCAGGTCCCAAAACCCCAGTGCTTTGAAAAACTCTGCGCCATCATCCTTAACTATAGGGTGAAGTAGGTAATAGCTGGCGCCATCTGGAGGGACTGAACAATACTAAAAAAACGTTGCTTGCCGCGACGTACGATGTCTACTCACCATCACGGCTCCCTTGCGGATAATATACGACTGAATCTATTCCAGATTACTCACTGACACCGGACGCTTAAATTATGCTGATGCAATGCATATAACTACACAAGCACACGAGGCCACATATTACGCATATCGGGTGAACTCATTGAACAAGACCACAATGAATCATTAAACACAGCGGCACACACTTCGACGTGGTTACTTTTTTTCTTTATTGCCTTCTTGACTACAGGCCAAGCCATTATGACAACCACTATCACACGTGTTTCATGCGTGATAACGCGTCAAACAAAGATATTACATCTTCAACACAGTCGGTAGTCTTATACAAATCTCGCACCTTTAGAACAGCTTCCACGAAACACTCATTAACGGACAGAACTCTCACATCACAGTGTCTGTACGACAGCAAACTACGCCAAACCGAATGAATACCAAGTAGAAATATAACATCAAAGTTTTGCACAGAACTATCACAAGGCAAAAACCGAATTCCATAAGGAGTAAGAGGTAAATTTTTTTAAAGTACTCTGTAAAATGTCTCAAAAGAAAATAGCGTTCTTACAATCAATAAACACATGTTCAATGGTCTCAGGTTTGTTACACAGGAGACAGCTGCTTCTCCATAGTACATACATCCCTCTCTCTTTCTGCCACGCTTTTACTGGCGAGGTTCCCGTATAAAGTTTAAAAAAGAAGGTTTTCACAATGGGTACACATGTTTTTCACTCGCTTTACGTCATTACCATATAATTGTTCATACTTTTAACGGTACAGGGGCACAGGAAAAACATTCTGTATTAGGTCTTTCATAAGGCGCTTTCTTTTCACATTAGTTAGGTAAGCTATCAAAAACCTCGCCCTTAAGAAACGATATGGGAACACAACTTCGCGCAAGAACGGTGACAAGGTGTGTCGTTCTCGCCTATGTGAAGATACACAGAAGTCAGGCATGTAGTGTAACAGCGTTGTTTGAAATAAAGAACGTAAAAAAGAGTTTCTCTGGTCTCTAATGAGCAGAAAACATGATATTACTTGGTTAAGAAACAGATGGAACAGAGACAGCCCTCCTTGCTTAACTCGCCGAAACAAGTTCGTTCTGGATGTTCTCTCTCACGTAGAGCTCCAGATGAACATGGCGAATATCCTGTGGACTTTGTGAATGCTTTTACGCGTACAACTAAGTACTTGCAAAAGGTACATACTTTTAGCAGCCAGAAAAACGTTGCATATAGCTGACCGAGAGAAAATTGATAAGCCACTACCGCCCCATCCTTCGGCGGTCGCGCGCAGTTCTTCAGTCTTTCCAAGCCAAAATGCTTCACTGCCTTAATACCTGTCCAATGGTACCCCTAGGTAACGACTAGGTGTCGTGAGCCACTGAATATTTCCAAAGGAACTGGGCGTGAGGTTCCAATTACCATGCTATAAACCAATGCTTTTCTCTTTGTTCATTAAACTTCCACTCGTGTCACAAAACCTTTGAGTGATTTTCAATAACGAAGTGACACTCTCTCTGTCAACAGCAAAAAAGGCAATATCGTCGGCGTATGCCAAAACACGCACTTCACATGACTGCAACCTGAAACCATTAATCCCTGTGTGGTGAATCACTTTCTGACACAATGGCTCCAAAAATAGAGCGAACAGCAAAGGACTTAAAGGACACCCCTGGCGCACGGAGGAAAGTACTTGAATGCGCTGTGAGAGTTCTCCATTTACAATTAAATTTGTGGTTGAACCTTTGTATGCCAATCTAATACATTTACATATGATCGCACCAAGACCAACGTACTCAGCTAGCATGAAGAGTATATTGTGTGGAACCATGTCGAAAGCCTTGGCTAGATCAATTTGCAACATAGCTACTTTTAGAAGTGCAGCGTCACAATACTCCAAAATGCTCCTGGGAACATTTATATTCGTGAATATGCTCCTAAGCTTGATGCCGCAAGTCTGATGTGACCCGACCAACTTGTTATAACTCCTTGCAACCTCCTAGCCAGAACTTTCATAAACACCTTATAATGTACGTTTGTTAGCGTGATTGCCCTGTATTCGGTCACTTTGCGTAAAACATGTGGCTCTCTCCTTTTAGGAATCAGCACGGTGTGTGTCCGATTAAACGATGGAGGCAGAGTTCCGCGATCTAAAGACTCTGAAAAAACCTTATGCAATGCGGCGGCCATATCCTCCTTCAACGCCTTGTAAAAGGCGGCATTAATGCCATCTGGACCAGGTGATTTGCCCATGCCCAGATCATCAATAGCCTTCTCAATTTCCCCTATACTAATAGACATTTACTATAAATTTGTGTCCCCAGCATTAAGTGTCGCCATTTCTATCAAGAACTTATCTACGAAACCCGGCTCCTTTGGTTCGCGATAAGCAAACAAGTCCTGGTAATAGTTTTCAAAATTTTTCATAATAACTTTATGTTCTCTCAATATTTTACCATCCCATTCTATCTCTACTATGTCGTGAGCTTGCGCATATGCCTTTTCATCTGAGAAGGCTCGCTTTGTCGGTGCTTCACCCACAAGGTATTTCTCAGCTCTTGCTCGTATAATTGCGCCTTTATATTTATCTTCTTCAAGACATTCAATTTTGTTTTTGACAACCTGCAGTTGGTGTGTAAATAAGCCCGGGTTTTCTGCTTCAAATTTCACCAAATCATTTAGCTCTGCCCGTAACTCACGTTCCTGTTTTCGAGCTTGATGCTGCATGTAGCAACCACACTCGATTGCCTTCATTTTTATCTTTTGCTTAAATAATTCCCATTTTTCCGTGGCACTGCTTTCTGCGTTTTTGAAAAAATTCTCGATTTCCTTCTTTGTCTTATCTACGAACCCTTCGTGCGTAATTATCTTAGTATTCAGTTTTTATGTTTCCCATACAACCTTCTTTTTGCATTTTCTACCTATCTCAAACAAGACTAAGCAATGATCACTGAAGGAAACATCATAAACATCATAGTTCTGACATAAGGTACTATCTCAGAACAAACATATGCTTGATCTAGTCGTGCGTGCCTTGAACCTTGAAAATGTGTAAAGTGTTGGTGACTGCCACCCTTCGCAAACAGAGCTACATCATGTAAAAAGTACTTATTAAGGCTGTCTCTAAGCAAATCATAGCTTTCATCACCAAATTTAGCAGTATACGTGCAATCTTCTAGGGTCAAAACACAATTGAAGTCACCCAACAGAATCACACATTTCTGACATTCAAAGTACGCTTGCATTTTCCGAAAAAACAAACATCTGTCTCTCGAATTTGTAGGTGCGTATACACAGATAACTCTAAATTTAGTGTTCCCGTAACAAAGGTCACACAAAACAAAACGCCAATGTAAGCAACTTTTCACCTCTTCCACTACAATACCAAGAGAGTTCTTGACAAAAATAATACATCCGGCTGATGCTACCACTTCATAGCTCACACATGCATTGTATCGCAATGAAAATTCTGCTACCAAGCTATCATTCGCGTCCTCAGTACTAACTGTAGTCTCCTGGACCACGAGCAAGTCAAGGTCTTTTTCTTGCATCAAGCGTTTCAACTGGTACTGTTTGCGACACGTTCTTAGACCACGTACATTCAGCGTACCAATGCGTAAAGGCGCAGTCATGCTAGCCATGTTGATGACAAAGATGAAAACTACAATGCTGCGCTTACAGTTTCTCGTATACCGTGCAGTGGGAAAACCGGGATTTTACGCGTCTCGATCTTGTTCCCGAACCGGCGATGATGACGCCGACCAGGTTTCGAGGGCACATTTTTTACTCTTAGCGCCAGTGACGCAATGCCACAGACGCTCCGGGCGTTTCAGGTTGCGTTCCGTGCTTTCCACTCGGTTACGCTTGCCACGTCCCGTGGTCGCTTCCGGAGACTTTGTGCTGGCTTCTCGCGTAGCGATCTCGCCACTGGTACCCATGTCTTCCTCCATCGATTCTTGAATGTCCTGCAGGCTGCCTGTTGCAGCCAACTCCTCGGATCCTTTCGTTGACTCTTTGCCGTCATGCGTTGTCGCGTCGGCTGTCTCTTCTCCAGTTGCCTGAACCGTGGCGTCGGGTACCACAGCATTGGTGCCAGGGGCCAACTTCTCAGCCTCTTCGGCGTCCATTAGATTATCTTGGGCGTCGTCTGTTGGCAACGCGGTCTTCGTAACTCTGGCATAACTCCTGACGCAATCTTGACTTTCATGTCCAAACGCTCAGCATACACCACAGCGGGGAGTCTGGCAGTGTCGTCGCATATGTCCTTGCATGTGACACGTTAGGCAAAGCGGTGCCCGACCCGGGGGCCACAAGAAGGACGGTGCCCCCTTCAAACTTAAAAAGGTGCGGCAAGTCTTTTAGCACCACGCCTTCCTTCAGTTTCAGTCACACCACCCTCGTTGTCGATATCGCGTGTTCAAAGCCAGCGACGGTCCAGTTGTCGTTGATGCTTGTAGAATGCTCTCATTCGAGACCGCAAAGTCGAGCCAGTGGATTTTGATGGTAACATCATGTTGGATAGGGTCGATGATAGCACAGAAGCCACCCTTGACTCGGGTTCCACCTGTTTTGAGTAATGCATCTTTGTCATCCTCGCTTTGCATCTTCACCAGCCAGATGTGATTCATCTGGAAGGCTCCAATGCCAGTGATCGCCTTGATGAGTCCCACTTCTTCCAACGAGGCCCGAAGGTCTTCCAACTGGTATGGTCTTTTTTTGAAATCACAGTGCAGAAATACACACTGTTCCATACTGTCACCCGAAGGCAATGTAGGCAACAAAAACCGGTAATCCGATGGTGCAGAAGGGAACCTAACACCGCGGCCAGCAGCGGCCGCCGAAGCACCTCCCACGGCGCGAGCCATCACACGTCCGTCTCCCACCGAAGCCGAAAGTGGAGTGGCTTCGACGTGCTTACTCACACCCTACTACAAAACGCACAAGCTTAAATAGCCATAAATTTCGACTGACCTTAGTGGCACTGGTTACAAGTAAGTTTTTGTACACCTATTTTTACGTTTTCTGGTAATACCACAACATGTGCACACGTAAATATGTTGCATCTGATGCTTAGACACACAGAACGATATTAAGTGTTGCACAATAATGAACGGAACAATTACTAGAGCTTTTCTAGTCTTCGCGAACAAGAATATCCCAAGCCATGCATGGAATGCCCACGGCATTCCAAACGCTGCGCCGTCTGTCGACCACTGCCACAGTTTTTTTTTCTTGAAGCCTCCGAGAACGCAAACGCTTGCCGCGCACTATAGCCATTTCGGAGGTCACGTCTTTTTTTATTCTTCAACTTGTTACTCGGAGAGGGCGCAGAATGCAGCCCAGACTTAGTCTCCGTCGTGGTAGATGTTCTGTGCTCGCGTCGCACTCGTTTAGTTATTTCGTGTTAACGTTTGCTTATATTCTTTTTACGTGCTTACCACAAGTGTGACCGTTAGCCTTAGATACAGTACACCACTAGCCCTTCAATGACAATGTTTTGGTGCGGTAACGACTGTCCTAGCAGTGTATATGTACGTTACAACGCGGGTCCTGCGAAGGAAATAAGCGATGACCTCGCATCCGACGGTATTTTTTCGTGAGCGATGGCAGTGGCTGTTGGCTTCGTGGCAGCTCTATACTTGAGTGGAGGAACTAGCGCTGCTGTGCGCAAATTTACTATAACGTTATAGCATGCTGTGCCTGAATACTTTTCTGCTTCATATGCCTCTCGCGATTTGCCTCGCGTGTCAACTTGCAGACATTGTGCGTGCCACCATTTTGTTGTTAGCGCTGTGGCTGTAGGGGATACTGCTACTCTGGATTTGGAATTCTCTTTTCACAAAGGTGAGTGAGTGTTAGTACTTACCCGCTGTGCACAGCTGTTTCTAGAAGTGCGTTTTGTGTTGAGTTTCTCACGACAAAGGAGAATCCTGGACAAAAAGGTAAACTGCACGCGTGCATAATTCCGTCTTACCTCTCAGTACTGGCATGGACAGTTCAAAACGCATGTGATTGAGAATTTGGTTTACTGACAGAATTCATTGGTTTACTTTTCACAAAAAAGTAGTTATGATGATGTTTAAAATGTTTCTAGTGGTTAAAACACATTCTGGCGAACAAACGCTCGGTGAAACTTCGCAGCCTGTTTCCCTTTGTGCTTTCACCTGCCGTGGTAGCATATCCTTATTGGGTGTCGTGTGACTATGGAGGACGAAGTTTCGACTTCCGGCCACGGCAGCCGTATTCGAATGGGGGTGAACTGCAAAGAACTTCCATATGGCAGCAGCGGCTCGTATAACTCTAATCAATTGTATATGATCGTGCTTTCCCGCATGGACCGTACAGTGGCATTAAGTTTGCTAAAATGTAGCAAAATTAAGCGTATGCTTTTGTATGCGCCTCATTGAATTCATGAGTGCTGTTGGTGCCGTGCAAAAGTAAATATGCGTGGGCTTACCAATTATGTCGACATCGAAAAAATTAATTATCTGTGTACAGTCTAAGGTAATCGATAAGCAAGACTGCTTGGAAAGCACAGCTCCTTGTAATCGTGTCAAATTGGTAGTATGAAACAACACGAGACACGCACGGAAGTGTGCGGAACATCGTGCGAGTGCCTCGCGACAAAAAAAGAGAGGCTTCTACTCTACACCAATAAAAAAAAACGTCACTCCCACGATGCTTGCATCAACCCTAGGTAAAAGCAATCGCTCGCGACTGGCCGCGGCCGGATAGGCTCAGCGTGTGCTTGCGCGCGCGCAACACCCCCGTGATTGAGGAGAAACTTGAACACTGAAGAAGGAACGTTGCTCGTTTGGTCGTTGTGGCGAGAGGGTGCGACGAGTAAACCGCCCGTAAAGTGCCTCGATGCGCACGCCGTGTGCTGGCATAAACGCACCCTAAGCGCCCGAAAGGAAGGAAGTCGCTGCGCTGAAGGAGGAACGGAGCCCGTTTCTTCATTCTCGCTTCCTTTTTTAGAGTGTGCACCCAGATCTGAGCACACGGGCCTACAACATTTCCGCCTCGATCAGAAATGCAGCTGCCGCAGCTGGGATTCGATCCTGCGACCTGCTGGTTAGCAGCCGAGATATTTGTTGCCGTCACATAGCAAGTGTTTTTTTTTTCGCTATAGCGTGTAGGAAACTTCCCGTGCCGTATTCTCTGCCAGTAGCAATCTTTTTGAGAGCTCATAAAGAAGCAGAAAGAAAGGCCGAATGGTAAGAAACAAAATTGCTTTATTTTATTCCAAATTTGAGCATTTAAATAAGATGTTTCAACTTAAATAACGCTTTTTATGTTACTAGAGCACATAAGAAATCCATGCGGAATAGTCTATTTTCCTACGTGCATGATATGCATATACGTTCTTCTTCGCGTTTCTGTTAGCTGTTCGTGGAAGTGAAATGAAACCAATTATATTCGTTTCATTACGACCATGATGCGCAACCGTTCACTGCTACCGAATATGCGACCGTCCACTGCAGTGATTTAGCGGTTACAGTCCTCGAGTACTGCCCTGAAAGCCGTGTGTTCGACCCCGCCCACGGATGTCGCAATCAGGTAGAGGCATAATGGTGGAAGTGCGCATATATACTGTGTGATATCAGTGCATGTTAAAGAGCATGAGATGAAGGAAATTTAGGGAGCTCTATACGATGGCGTCCATCATAATCGTGCCATTAGTTTTTGTGCGTAGAGAGCAAAGGTCACAGCAATATTCAAAAAAGGTGACAAAATGATCTTTCACATTACCGCCTTGTATTAGCGCTACCGGTTTAATCGAAAGGTTTGATGACTTTAATACTGCTACGTGCCAGTGCATGGAGGTGAAGACGACAAAGCAGATAGACTGGCACGAGCTAATCTGTGTGGCTGGCGCTGCTCGCCTAAATCGGCTGTATATACATCGGTGACTACCCCTCCGAGTCGGTCTCCTTCTCGTAACATATTTGGTGGAGTTGTGCGATCCCCGTCCTCGCAACGGAATTCCGAAGCGGACGCTCCCTCGCGGCTTACAACAGTGACCACTCAAGACTCGGCTACATGGCTCTCCGGTCGCCCTGCCCTTCTGTACTGGCCTGTCAACCCTAGAGTCCCGCAACAACTTTCGATGACGCTTCCCACGCTCAAAGATCCCGGCGTGTTGTCGGGCAGCAAGGGTTCCGACGTCGACCAGTGGCTACGCCTCTACGAACGTGTCAGTGCCACTTACAGGTGGGATCCCACTCTCATGCTTGCAAACGTCATCTTTTATCTCGATGAAACCCCTCGTGTTTGGTTGGATAACCACGAGCATGACATAACAAGCTTGACAGCTTCAAGGAAAAGATTTGTGAGCTCTTTGGCAACAACTTTGGTCGTCGTGAAGCTGCGAAAAAATGAGTTGTCGACACACGCACAATCCTCCACGGAGCCCTACATCGGTTACATTCAGGCTGTCCTCTCACTACGCCGCCAAGCTGATGAAAACATTTCCGAACCTGAAAATGTTGCGCATAACCTAAAGGGTAGCGCCGACGATGCGTTCAACTTGTTGGTATTCAACAATGTGTCATCTGTTGATACGATCATACGAGAATGCCGCCGGTTCCAACAAGCTAAAGCAGACACATCTCCCATCAGTTCCAGCGCCTCCCGAACACCACTGCGACGTCCTCGTGTCTCGACACATATCATCCACCAGACACCTGTGACAACTTGACGCGAATCGGTTGGCGGGAACTTGAAGCAGCTGCTCCAGCTAAGGTGGGACCAACGTCCCCATGAACCCCTCCTTCAATTAGGTTGCCTCTCATTTAAGCAGTCGTCTGGCAGGAAATCGCCAGCTTCGGAATTAACTCTATCTCACCGCCTCCCCGCACCAACTACCAGCCCCAATACATGCCTGCACGTGCCTTCGCGACCAGCTCTCCCTCAACGTTCCGTAATCCGTCCGCATTGCGAACACACGATGACAAGTCGATCTGCTTCTCGTGTCACAGAATTAGGCACATTTCTCGCCATTGCAGAAGTCGCTGGGGTCCTCCTGCACAACCGTTCTCTCATCCCTTCTATGCACGTCCTGTCTATCGCCATGAGAGCAGCCGCAACCATTTTTTCCCAGGAGCCTGGTTCTGAACACCGCTAC